ATAAAAAATATATATAAGTACGTGTTATATATATATATATATAAATATAATAGCACATTATGTAATGAAATTGAAAAGTATGTTATAAAATATATATAAAAACATATATATATTATTTTTCTTTCTTTTTTACATTATTCGCTAGTATTCATCTTAAATTATCATAATTGAATTTATATATAAGAACATATATAATAATCATATTGAGAGTACCATATATATATTAAATACGATTTTCTATTTATATTATTGAATTAGTATAAGGACGATATTTATTTGATTTATAATATATTTATAATTAATTGTTATTACGACCAAATTACAATTAAAATTAATAAGTGTGATTTTTTTATAATTTTATGTGTTAAATGAACTACCTAAGCCGGGTAATAATCAAAAAACTATATAATAATTTATATAAAACATAATTGTATTTTGTTTTTATGACCAAAAACTACCACAAAATGTCATTTATTTTAAAAATTAATTTTAAAATAATTTTTATAATTGTTTAATAAACTTTTATAATTATTTAAACTATTATTTAATTTTTCTTAATGTTATTCAAACTAAAATAAACGGTATAAATTGTCATTAGATGTTTTTATTTGTATAATAAAGACTATCAGCAATATTTGAATATGAATAAATAATAATAGTTTTTATATATACAAACAAATTAATTAATATCCAACGAAAATATTATAACATTATTATTAAATTTGTTATGACATAGTTGGAATTATTTGTTTTTATAACAAAAAAATTATTTTATTTTAATATAATTTTTATTTAATTTTTTTTATATTTTATTTCTTTTATTATTTCAATATTTGACATTTTATTGTTATAAAAGTGACATTTTATCGTTATAAATGCATGAGTATTTTTATAATTCATCATTTGAATATTTAACACTATTTAAAATTTTTTAAGATAATTTCTGTCCATGCATGTTCATATAATAAAATTTATTAAAATTATGTTTATAATATAATTTATATTTCAGATATTTATTGATTTTATTTTTCTTCTTATATTACTTTATTATATTATAAGTTATCTTTTGTTATATTATTATTATTTTTCATATATATATTTTTATTTATTAAATATTTAAATGAATATTTAATAAACTATAAGGCATAAACCCAATAGAAATCAAATTTCTTTTTAAATTTTTATTTAATATATAAATATGACACAATATAAAGAATAAGTTTACCAGAATTAAATAAAATCCAAAAGTAAATTAAATTACAATTTAAATAAATAAATATATTATAATTTAAATCATTAAAATTTAGAGAAAATAATTTTAATTTATACATTTTTAACGTTTTAATAAGTTTTAAATAATTAAATAAATTATTATTTTTTAATTAATAATTTAGAGAAATTTTATTTTCAGTTAATTAACTTTTACTAATATCAAATAGTTAAATATTTTAATTATTAAAGTTAAAATTTTTGTTTGGAACATGTGCATATTTTTATCATAAATTATATTATTCTATAATAATTGTTATATTGATAATCTTTAATTTTATATAATATATGATTGTTATCATATACTCCTTATTCCTTATGATAGTTATATCAGTTATATTATATATTATGTTGGTCACATTTTCTTTTTATTAATTATAAAAATTTATTTATTTTATTCTATTATTTATTTTATTTTTATTTATTTTATTATTTTTTTTTTATATCTTTATATATTTTATCTTTATTATTATTTTTTATAGTAATGAAATCATCTTTTTATTAATAATAATACAAATTTTATTACTTTAGTTTTTTTATATGAATTTATCGATATTATTGTTTGTATATATTTATTATATTTTCAGATCAGTTTTTTAAATATATAAGTTTATCTAATTAATGACTTTTTATAATTAGTATGAAATATTTTTATTTGAAACTTTCCATTTCCATTACAATTTTGTTGTATTATTTATAATTATTAATTATATATATATATTTATTATTTCAATTTTTACTGTCTATTTCATTTTTTTTATTTATTTTGTTTTGTTTTTTTGTCATTTTTAGTTTTGTTTCTAATTTCTTATTAGTGTTTTTAAATTGTACTAATTTTTTATTTCCTTTTTTTTATTTTATCATTCTTACATCTTTATATTTATGTTATTGTTTTTTTCCATGTTTCTTTTTATAATTATCTATTTTATAACGATTGTGTTTTTTATTTTTATTTAGAATTATATTTTATATTTCTTTTAAATTATTTATTTATTAATAATTTCATTATTAGTTTTTATTCGCAGTATGTCTTTTATATGTTTTTTATATGTCTTTTATATATATACTACTTATGAAACTTGACTAAATTTATTTATGAATTAAAAAAATTATTTTATAGTTATAAAAATAAAACACTAAATTGATGAATATGATTTATATACACTTAATATAAATATCATATAAGTATATTATTATATTATAAGTAATTTAAGTATATATGTATACACTTAACTTATCTTATATTTAATTAATGTTATTATTATTTTCATTTATTTTTGTTTTTTATTGAATAAATTTTATTTTACTAATTTTTGGTTTTATTATTATATTTGAGTGAATTCTTTTTTTTTTTTATAGTAATTTTAACTTAAAATAAAATATAATTTATGATAATCCAATTATTATATCTATTATTTAAATAAAATTTAATTTTTTATATTTTTATAGATATAATTTATACAAAATTTTTTTTTTTGTTGAAAAAAAATATATATGCAATTTAGTGACGAATACTGTGTAATATTTACTAATGAATTTCTATACAAAACATTTTAAAGTATATTATATGTCTTTTAAGTGCATATAATAAATTTATTTATTTAATTTTAATGTGAACTTTATTTTTAAATTGTAATTATTATTATGTATATCTATATATATATTTTCACCTGGATATCCTTTAGTCAAAGTTATCTATTTCAATCACTCATTCATTTCTAGCTTCGATGAAATACTCATTTGTGATAAGAATATTATTGAATTATTAATATATTTTTCTATTCATATACTCATATTAGTTCGAACTGAAATTATTCTACAGTCTGGTGTTCTATAGAAGTTGCAGATATGTTTATTAATACTTTTTTTTAGTATCAAAATATTCGTAAAGATTTATATCATTGGATACTAATGTATATTGAATATTTAGTGTACAAAGCAAGCTGAAGTTTATGAAATAAATTATATAAAGAAAAAACAAAACTATGCCAGGTCTTAACCCAATCACTTAATGCTAGGGCCCAGCGGATTTGAGGGAAACGAGAAAGCAGGTGAACTAACCAGAAAAGGGACAACCTCATGGTCCTCATGTAGCTTTTTTGCATTTAAAATTAATGAATGGCTGAAAAGAGCAGCTCATACTAATTAGGTTAAGTAAATTATCTGCAGACAAGATAAGTAATTCATCCCGAATCGATCAAAAGTAACAACTAGGCAGCTTCTAGTGCTGAACAGAAAAGGCATCCCACTTTTTACTGAGTTAAAAACATTAATTAAAAAAACATCTATCGAATCTAGGTACGACAAGAAACGATAGCTACAGACTTTGTTACGAAAAAGAAGCAACAGCAGAACACATTCTGTGTCATTGTGATAGTCTCACCAGACTCAGACACAGTACTTATAAACTGCATAATCCTGCAGTGAAGTGGTAATAAATTCCCAACCCGTCAGAAAAAAATCTAATCTAATCTAACTTAATCATCCATATATTTTTTATATATGGTCTTCAACACCTTTTGCTGCATTATTTTTATGTCAGCAATCAGATTCAAATTCCTTTCTGAAAAGTAGTACTTCAAGTTTCGGGAACACAAGAAAGCAGTCCATGTCAGGAAAGTAAGATATTTGGTCAGGATTATTGCGTATAAATATATAGATATAATATATGTATATATACCCATTAATTTTGTATAAGTTTAATTTGTGATGTGTCAACCTTCCATATTAGGAAAGGAAAGTAAAAACTCTTTTTTTAAAGCATTTTTTAAATTATAAATTTTGAATACTTTGTACACTGAATATTATTATTTTTAAGTGGGTGTATGCACTGCGATCTTTAGATCTATGTACACTGAATATATATTAGTTACATTTTATAAAAATCTAGAACTGTAGAATAAGAAATCAATGGAAAAATGTTTCTAAAAGGATTCACAGAGTATTTTTTTAATATAATTAATTAATTAATTTAATTTAATTTAATAAAAGATTAATTATTTTCAAAATTTTAATATTTAAAACAAAAAATTAATAAATATTTGAAATTTAAAATTTAAATCATATTTTTTTTATAAAATTTTTTGTATTTCTCTATATCATAATAATCTTTTCAAAACATTTTCTTTTCTTTTTTCTTTTCAATAATTATATCTATACTTTTATATGAATATATAATGTTTTATATAAATGCGTTTAATTACAAAGCTTACAAGTTGTGATTTTAAAATTAACGAACTACGAGTATTTAATTTTGTTTTAATATTCGTTTTATTTTACCTAAAATACTAATGAGATATCGTTTAAGAATTATAATTTTATATATAAAATGTTCAGGTTTTTTAAAAAAATTTCGCTCCAAATCTTACGAAATTTCTTACAACTTTCTATTTCCTGGAATTAAATATCTATGAGAAACTCTTAACTTTAATGAGTAAAAATGCTGATAATAATTAAGATAATTAAGAGAATAAATTAATAAGTATATGAGTTGACAAAGCTGTTGCTTATTTGTACCTTAGTACTATTTATAAATAGTTTTTATTTTAGTATGTAATTTTTAATATAAATAGTAATTTTTATTTGAATAAAATTTTTAGTTGATGAGAGAATAAAAACGCAGCCTAAAATAAAGCCGCAATGCCATTATTTTTTATTAAATATTTAATTGTGAAAATGATTAATTTGTATGAAAGTGAGTTTTTCCACATTGGTTAAATATTGCATTTGAAATGAAAATATGTGGCAACGATTCAAAATTTAATTTTTCGTTTTAATAATTAAAATTCATTCTAACTAATCAAATCGTTTTCTACTCGCAAAAAATTGTAATTATTTATATTTTATTTAATTCGCTATTTTCTTTATTTAATTTTTTTTTTCTTCTACTTTAATTCACAGATCCAGCATAGATGGTTTCTATTTAGAACATGTGTACATAATTCATATATATGTTATTTCACTTTAATCTTTAATTTTATTTCTTTGTTTTTGTTTTAGTAATTATACAACTGTTTTCTATTATACTTTCCTCTGTCTATTTTTGTTTTAATCCATTTATTGTTGTTTTTAGTGTAGAAAGTGTGTTTTATCTATTGTTGCGGAATTGTCCCGTTCCCATTAATTTACATCGATGCGGTTTGTTGTTGTTGTTGAGCAGCTTGTACCGCGGCTGCGGCTTGTGCAGCATTTTGTTGTGTGGTGGCATCATTGGTTTTCAAGAAATATGTTATCAAATCGATCGGTAGTGGGAAAACGATGGTCGAATTCTTTTCAGCAGATATTGTGTTAAGGGTCTTAAAGGGAATACATTTTGTAAAATAATTCTTATTTATAAAATATTGCATTCAGCTTACCTGTAAGTAACGTAATTGTAGAGCAGCTGGAGAGTCGCCAATAACTTCGGAAGCCTCACGTAATGCACGGGAAGCCTTTTGTTCACCTTCAGCTGCAATAACTTTAGCGCGGGCTTCACGAGCTGCCTCAGCTTCAGCCGCCATAGCACGTTGCAATTGTACTGGCAAACGCACATCCTTACTGTAAGTCATAAATTGAATATAAAAAAGTTATATCCATTATATGATCCAGTGGGATATAATTTTTTAATTTTCTTTTTTTCTTTTTTGGTTTAGTGAAAATCTGACCATATTGGATAAAGTATAAAGTCATGACATTGGTGTGAGAATGCTAATTAGGTCAATAAGTATTCATAATAACTAACGAGATTTCTCAGCATTAGGTCTTCTAACAAATTAATATTGAAAATGTGTTAATTCATTTACTAAGTTTATGTTTAAATTATGACTAAACTCTATATTGTATAGGCTAGGTTATACCGGCGATTCAAAGGGGGATCCACTAAGGCCTATTGGCCCATTGTATTACCATATAATAGAAAAACTCAGGGTTTAAAATCATCTGGAACCTTTGATGAAGCTTAAAATGCTATTTATTTGAAGATCTTGAAGTTAATCAAGATACTCAAAGAAGTGAATCCCTAAAATATTGAGTTACCGCCGTGCATGAACTGGGCAAAGTCAAAGTAGATGAGAGGTACTTTCGTTGTCTTCTCCACAGCTCTGACAGGTATCATTGAATCGAAGAATCAATCAACTAGCATGGTTGCCTAATCTACAATAACCTGTAAGTAAATCTACCAGAAGACTGATATCTATACGGGGTATCTGAATGAACGGATTGGATTTTATTTTAGTGGAAAATGATTAAATTGCATACAGATGCCTACATATCAATGAGTCTTCCCCTCGTTTATTAAAAATTTTAGCTTAAAAAGAATTCAACAAAAGTTACATGACGTCAACAATATACCCAAATTGTTTAGATGTTCCGAGTGAAGTTGTGAAGCATCCCTTCTGGATAGCTCGTCTTCTTTACAATTGCCGAAAATATCCCTATGTCCGGGAACCCAGATTAGTGAAATTTTGAGCTGTGTCGACATCTTGTTTAGAGATATGTAGCAGTCGAAAACTGTCCTAGATATAAACTGAACTAAACTCAAGGATTTTAAAATTGCTTAACTGTATATAATCCTGCTAAATATGAAAAGCACTACAATAACCCAAAAGCCTTTATTAGGAAGATTTGTTACCACTATCATCACTACCTGTTTTCTGTATTGTACAACAATAACAAAATAAATTTTCGATGTATTAGAAAAATCTACTGATGTGAAAATAATATATCAAGACCTGTATACCCTTCCTCGTCTAGTCGCAATTGTGTTTTTTAATTAAATTAAGTGGTTAAAAGGAATGTTAATTAATTATAATAATAATCATGATAATACTAATCTGGAACAGTTTAATAATAAAAGAGTATGATGAAAAGAAAAAGATAAAAATCATTAAAATAACAAATAATCGATATTTGTTTTTTTCTACGTAGGATTGTAGAAAGGAAATAAATCTATTCCTTTTACTTAACATTAAACAATTTCGATGAACATAACATTATGTGACATTGATGAACTACTCACTGCTTGCCTCTTGGTTATTTACATTTTTAGTGTTTTTTGTTTGCAAGATACTTTACGACAGCAGAAGAACGGAATCTGCAAATTTACGCAAAATACTTTACTTGGGCTTAATTGACTGTAATGGACTTGGCGTCGATATTTCTTATCCTTCACAGGAAACTTAATGTTGACAAATTAAATTGTAAAATATTTGTGCTTACTTTAGCAACATTAAAAATAAAATTTATGTTAAAATTTTGATATAATTTCACATTTAAGAATTTAAATGTTAATCAATAAAAAGAATAATTTTTTTTTTTTTATGGGTGATTTAGTGGAGCTACATAATAATCTATGTAAATTACATGGACAGAAAATAAAGCAAAGACAATATGGTATATTACAGTAAATTTTATAGAGAAAAAATAAATCAATAAGTATATAATTGGACAATAGTATTGTAGCTATGTGGGTACAGGAACTATGGACTGCACTGAGTACCACCATCTCAGAGAAATAATATCAAAATAAAAGACTGTAGCTTTTAGCTACCAACTATTATTCAGTTTAATTAGATTGTGTAAGCAACATAGTGATCATTGTTAAAAACCATTTATGACTAATATAGAAAGATATTATATAGCGAAATAATAACGAGAAAGAAACATTATAACACTATGTAGAGAAATTATAGAGAAAGACTTGCAGGGTGCAGTCTGTTAAGGGTCTAGGAGATAGAGATAGAAAAATTATAACATAAAGAGATTATAGAGACAGGCTTCCACGATGTAGTCTGCTGATGGTTTACTATAATTATTGAAAGATACAGAGCTTCATCTTTACAGTAACTTGTAGATAAAATTTGTTTTTGCAGAGGGTGTCATGTACTCTATTCCCATAAATTCTGATATAGATTTATAAAATTTGTTAATGGTAAGATTTATCTTTGTTTTGTTTGATGTCAGTGGTGGTAAATAGTTACTAAGATAACTCCCATAACTGGCGAGTTGAAAAGAAAGGGAAAATAAAAGTTCCATTAAAGCTAAAGATTTTTATAGAAAACTGTTGCGTATTGAAAATGTTTGTAAAAAGCTTCTGTTTACAAATTGAATAAATATATGTTAATTGCATTTATTTAATACTCCCGACACGTGATATTAAGTCTAATTTTTATTAAATTAATTTATTTAAGTGAAACACAATTAGAGTATTGTATGTTTAAATGGGGTACATACTTAACGTGTTCTCTAATCTATTTAAAAGAAAATAATATAAAAGAATTTTGTTTAAATCATGCTGTTTACTGAAAATTAAAAATATTTCAATCAATACATCAATCAACCTGACAACTTTGTTACTCCGCAGGGCTTTAGGTAACTGCATGTCAGACTGTGTTTATATATCACAGGATATTTGTGTGTAATCCTTGATTTAGTGTTTAATTTAGTTAATAGAAATGTTAATATACATTTTATTACTTCATTAAATAAAAATATATATATATAAAAATCAATAAGTCATTACACTCAATTACGTGATTAAAACAATGGACATAACTATGTTAATATATCTGTAAGCTCAATGTGACGGGAGACGTCTGCTGTCATATCCTTGCAACCACTTTTAGACATTGAAGCAGGAAAAAAGAAAAAAAAGGCATTCTGCTAAATACTCAACACCCATAAATGAATAAAATTTGATGGAGCCGACTTAAGTGACGCATGACACGCGAGCAGTGACGCAATTGCATAGAGTACATAGAGTACGGAGTGCGAGATGTGTGGAGCATAGCAGAAGTATGGCACGTAATAAATGGGATATGCATTAACCTTTGGTGACATGACCGATATGCTGCTACTTGGAAGTAGGAAACGTCACAAGTGTCAGACTAGAAACTTAGATAAAAAGCGGATGTATGTGTGTGGAAAAGGCATATGACTGCTATTTTTTCAGTTGTGTTTGCTAGTATCTACTAAATTTAATTTCAAATAAAACCATTCTTTTAAGAAGTTTTCCTCAATAATGACTAAAATGCCAGCACTTAAAAGTTTTCGTTAATGCCTAAATCCAATTATTTTCTTTTAAAGGTTAACGAAAAATTATTATTAATGGAAAATATAATTCAGTTTGAAGGGTAAATACAAATTAAATTAGTATAATATTGAGTCTTGACTTTAGCTTTTAACAAATAAAATAGTCAAAATATGTTAAGAGGTGTGTACCTTTAACCTTGACGGGGAATCTCTATAAATATTTTAGTGGGATGCAAGCCCACTTTCGATTTTGTATTGTGTTTTCTAACACTTAAACATTTGTTGGTTTTATAAACTAAAACTGAAATTAATAAAAAAATGTTAAAATAAAAAATATACTTACATCTCAACACGTTCAACTTTAATGCCCCAGGCGTCGGTAGCCTCATCCAATTGAACCTGATGTTTTCATTGTTGATTTCCCATATGTGAAAGGATGTGAAAAATTACAAAAAGAAATTATGTATTAGTACATTTTTTTTATTTCATTCCATGTTTAGTATTTCACTTTTTTGCTCCTAAGAAAATCACACTTTTATTTTATATTTAAGTCCTTTTTCATGTACCATTTACGTGTAGTTCTTATTTTACATGAAAACGAAATTTATTCTCAAATAAAATTTTTTAAGAGGAAATTTGAGTTTCCAGAAAATCATTTATCAATTTCATGTGTTTTTACTAATGCCTGTAGACTTAAAAAGGACTTACATAGCATATGGCTTGGCGGTTCATTACAAAAAATATACAGAGAAAGACATAGTTTCAATATTCAGTAGGTGTGCAATATTTTAAGATATTCTAATTTTTCACTTTATATAAAAAAATTATGTTTTACATGAAACATATTCTAAATTAATATTACAGTAGTCTCCGCAGATGTCGGTGATATGGTTATTAATGTTGGAGGCAAATTTAATTCCACTATGAACGGATGCAATTAACCTTAAGCATAACATCGAGATGATGTAATGAAAAAATAACACTCACCATTTTTCAACAATAGAACAAATATAATATATTATATTATATATAAATATATTATATATTATATTATATATAATATAAAATATTATAATATATTGAATCCTTTAACTCCTACGAGCATAATGCCGCTTACGATTTCGTTAATCAGTTGGTTTAAGATTGGCATATATACATTAGATATTATAATATATGTTGTATATTATTATATATTTCTTTATTATATATAAATGTAATATTTTTGAATATTTAATATATTTGAATATTTTCTTTAACAAAAAGCTTGGACACCGTAAACGTCTAATCAGCAAGGCAACAAAATCATAGTGTTATGAAAATCATATGAAAAAAATCTGGAGAATAGTATCTAATTCGGTTATATTAAATTATAATAATAACTACTATTGGCCAAAAATTCAGAAGATTAGCGCCAAAATGACTTTGAGTGCACTTCTGTGTCTTGTTTGCCTAGGTAATATACCTAAGTGCTGTGAATATGTAACTCACAATTGCCATGAATGTACTAAGGCAATTACCACTATAAGTAATTGAAGTGATGCAGACTATAAAATAAAGAGAAATACTTTCGAATATTCTATGCAACAAAGAGTTAACTTAAGTTAGGTTTAATAATATAGTAATGCTAAGGAGTTTTGAAAAATTATACAAATGTTATAACAAGATTTTCACAAATATTGACTTGATGATCTTTGATTTAACTGAACATTTTTTATGAGCATTTTATAAAAACATCCGTATTTCGGGAAAAAACTTTCACATTTTTTTATTAGGAATTTTTAGAACCGCGGGGTTCTGAAAATTTATATTTTAAAATGATGCACATTATAATAATAAATAATGACTCTAAAAAAATATTAGTATTGAAATTTAACGATTAAAAATATCTATAGTCAGTAAATTCAATTAGTCTATAGCTGGTTTATGATTTCGTTCTAATTTAACACAGTAAGAGAATTTGTTAATGAAGAAGTCAAGTACAGCTTTAGGTCAGTTAACTAAAAAACACTGACTCTGAGCTTCAAATTTGGCAGGGCAACAAGTTGCACCCTTGGTACTTGTAGTCTTATAAAATTATTTTCAAATAATTAAATATAAGAAATATTTCCAAAAGATTACTAATGAAAAGTATTTGATAATACTTAAAACAGCTGTATATTTAGCCAAAAATTCAATTAATTAATAAATAATAAAAATACGTTGTTGTATTTACTACTGTTCAAGACACCTTTATATTAAAACAACAGTTTCTATTAAAAAAAACATGGACTTTCCTCATTATTGACTTTAAAAATCATATTTAATTAAGATTTTAGACTATATCTCAGGCATATATACAACAATTTTTTATTTATTATTATCTATATAAAATAGTAAAGTCTGGTTAATAATTTTGGGGACTACTGGTTAGTCTCATAGCTTTATCTCAGGCATATATACAATTATTTTTTATGTACTATTATCTATATATGTTAGTAAAACAACAGTTTCTATTAAAAAACATGACTTTCCTCATTATTGACTTTAAAAATCATATTTAATTAAGATTTTAGACTATATCTCAGGATATATACAACAATTTTTTATTTATTATTATCTATATAAAATAGTAAAGTCTGGTTAATAATTTTGGGGACTACTGGTTAGTCTCATACCTTTATCTCAGGCATATATACAATTATTTTTGATGTACTATTATCTATATATGATAGTAAACCGACTTTACGATGGTTGCGATAAATGGCTTATAATTAAATTTGTTTATTTCGGATTTGGCAAAAACCAAAACCCAAAAGCCACATGCAAACTCATAAAGCACACACTACTGTTCTGATGGAATCAATGCATGTACACATGGTACACGTTTTATTATCTGGAATACAAGTAAGTATCAACGATTCGAACGACATTATCATTGTCACTATTATTTTGAACAGCAAAACATTATCATGTGCTGTTGTCTGAAAAATTACAAGGAACACTGCTAGAATCTTAAGAGACAAGACTTACCTGCATAGTGCCAGAAATAGTCATCCGTTCGCTAAGTATCTCATGCAAATGCCGAGTTCCCATTGTGTTTCGTAGAGTAGTCTGTGCCAACAGTCTAGTGGAATGGTGAGCGTTCTCCACGTTCGCTATAGAAACTGTCGCATTGGAAACGCGATAATAAACCACTGCATCCACCGAAACAGTTACGCTATCCTTTGTCAGGACCTACAATGTGCAGTGGGGGATTTTTCGGTTTTTGTTTTCTTAAATGTTTCTGCATTTTTGCTTATGTGATTTTTTTTGTTTTGGTTTTTGTTTTTATTTAAATTTATATTCTTATGTTCTACAACATTTTTGCTTAAATGGTTTTATTTTATTATTTTTTTTTTAATATTTTTTTTCTAATTTTTATTTATTCACATTATTGTGAGCTGTGCACTTTTATGTGAGGAGAAAAAATGCACTTAACTCCAATTTTGAATTTTTTATTTCGTAATTGCAAAGATGAAATGAAGTGCAAAGTACAGTTACAGTTACAGTTACAGTTACAGAACATTTACATTTGCAATTTTTTACAGTGTATGCATGTAAAGGATAACATTTGTAAAAGCATTCGCTCGTTTCTTTTGCTCATTTGCTCATAAAATGGGAACTCTACGTGATAGTTCGGTGTTGAACGCGATTAGCCAGTTTTTGAGTTTTGACTGTCTTGACTATCAATTTTTATTGCTTTATTTATTTATTATTTTTATTTGGAAAGAATTTTAAATTTTGATCATACAGGGTGATTTCGTTAAACTGCGCTATAGCGATACGTGGAGCAAACTCAAGAGTTTTAAAGTCACAGTGTTTTTTTTTTTAATATATACTTTTTTACATAACACAACGTTTAAGGATATTTGAATGCAATAAAGACAACTTAAATGATTAAGACAATTCTTTAACGAACAAAAAAGTTTTAATGAATCTAAAAGATTGTGACATAAAAAATAAATCACATTTTATTTACAAAAACTTATAAATTGTTAGAAATCACAAAATAATTTTTTTTTGATATTGAATTAATACTCGTACTCAACAGTTTTGAGGTTAAAAAAACTATAAGAATAATTAATTTAAAAAATTATAATACAAGTATACATTCCTTATAGTATTTTAATTAAATTATATATATACTACGTACTTATATAAAATATGGCTTGCACTATTAAGAAGTAATTTATTAATTAATTAAGAATATAATATTGATAAGACATAGGTTAAACCATATTCATTTCATATATTCTTTAAAATAAATAATTAATCTCATATTCTAATGTAGTTGCAGTAATAGATTTATTTACACATTACATAAAATATTAAACTGTTTGATTATAATAATAAATTATGAAAATAACTAACTCTTAAACTACGGCAAAAACTTAAAGTTAATGAAATTGAATATACACATATTGCAAATATTTTTAATAGTACGTTCAATAGTACTAGTAACAGTAATAGGACGTCTTGTTTATTCTTATACACATATAATATATTGTAAAGATGATGGCATGATTTCTGAAAATGGCTATTAGAGTTGGTCACTTCAATATTTGGTTTTCAATAAGCAAAACATATAGTTTAGTTTTGTTCCTACTATTTTATTTCATACACATCCATTTGGTCTGACATAAGTCGACGCATTAAATACATACACTCAGAAAAATATGTCAGAAAAAATACCAGAAAAAATACCAGAAAAAATTGACCTGTTCATTTTGTTAGAGAAATTTTAGCTCAATATATGTCATTTATTACAACATATAGCATTTATTCCGATAAATGACATTATTTTTAATTAATGTCATTTATTTCAATAAACAATATTTATTACAATAAATGACACTTAATACAATAAATAATATATATTGCAATAAGTGACATTTATTACAATATATAATATTCATTACAGTAAACGGAATTTACTACAATTAATGACATTTATTACGATTAATAACTAATAATGACAGTAAATTATACATATTACAATAAACAATATTCATAATAAAAAATAATATATATTACAATAGAAAAAAATTATTTTTAGAATAAATAATATTTAATAAATAATAAATTAATTTTATTACAATAAATAACTTTTATTATAATAAATGAAAGTTATTAAACCAACACTATTCATAGCAATAAATCTTATTTGTTCCCATGAATGACATATATTACTATTAATGATATTCATCACAATAAATAACATTTATTAAAATAAATAACATTTATAAAAACAAATGACATTTATTAAAATCAAAAATATTTATTACAATAAGTAGCATTCATAACAATATATTGTAATGTGTGTAAATGTGATGTTTACCACAGCAAAAAACATTACAAAAAAAACATTTATTAAAATAATGTCCAATAAATATCCAATGACATTTATGACAATTATTAATAAGTAATAGCAGTAAATGACATTTAGTACAATAAATCTCATTTATTTCAATAAATAACATTTATTTAAAAATTCAATATTCATTGTAATGACATTCATTGCATTAAATGATTTTTATTGAAATGAATGACATATATTACAATAAATATTTAATTATTTCAATAAATAATATTTAATACAATAATCGACACTTAATTCAATAAACACCACATAATACAATAAATAGTATTGTATTGTAATATTGTAACTTCATTTACGATTAATAACAATAATAAAAAAAGTACTTTTATTGCAATAAATGAAACTTTTTATAATTAATGACGTTTATAATTGCAATAAATATATTATAATAAATTAAATATATTATAATAAATGAAATTTTTTACAATAAAAAATATCTTTTAAAATAAATGATTATCACAATACACAACATTGATCACAATTAATGTAATGATGTAATTACTTATTGCGCTAAATGACATTTATAACAATAAATAACGATTAAATAATATATAATATTTATAACAATGAATAATTGGAATGAAACTGAATTTTGTTTTAATGTATTATATTAGGCAATAAATATCAATTGTTGCAATATATATATGTAATGTAATATGTAATATGTAATATTATTATTATAAATAACATTTAGCGCTATAATAAAATCTGCTGCTTGAACGTAATGAATGTTATTATTTAAAAAATTATTTTAGAACTCCGACGTTGATTTCGGAATTTGCTAAGAGTTTTGAATTCAAAAATAAAAATAAAAAAATAAAAATAAATAAATAATTATAAAGCATTGCATATAATTGCTAAACAAATATTGTAACTATTAGAGCATGTGAGTATATAATTCGGTTTTGCAAAACCTTTAAACATGTTAAATTAGTATAATAAAGTATTAATTAAAAATTATACAATATTATTAACCTAAACTGATTAACAGACAGTTTTCTCAGGTATCTTTGGAATGTAATTTAAAAAAAAAAAAAAGAATATTTAACAAATATAGATGAAAAAATAAAATGACGATTTTTATATACCCATATATTATCACCTAAATTTAATACTATAACACTTAAAATTATTATTTATATGATATACCTATGTATGATTATATTATATTATTATAAAAAATAGATTCACTTATTATGAAGTTGTTATGCTATTGTTTTTGAATTTAGGGTCATCGATACCGTTAAATTTCTATTTATGTTTAATAATAAGTCATCTGTAAGGGTAGCACAATGATAGTAGCTCTGATTGAATAATGTTCGAAACTGATAATTAAAACAATGTGTAATTAATTTATAAAAAAAAATAAATAAATATATTTTACATTAATAGCACCGTGAAGAATTACAAGCCGATGTTTAGTGCGATCAGAATATTTTAAAACAGGCATTAGCTGTGCCTGTGTTTATCAAACACATCAAATTAAATAGATTATTATATTAGTGGTTTAGAATTTAATATATAGAATTGATGATCAAATTGAAACTATATATTATATATTAATATTTTATATAAATATTCTTCTCAAGCCGGTATCGTTTCGTGAGATATTAAAGCTTGTATGAACAATTGCAACACGTGAGTTTTGTTTTTAAAGAACAACTAAATAAGAATCTTATAAAATTTGGGATTAAAAATAATGTAAATGTATAATATCAATATAATATATGTACATATACGTACCCAGGATTTCACCAAGGAGAACTAACAATGGAATACATATATATATAAAGGGAATACATTTATATATATATGTATATTATATATGGTACATATAATGAAGACATAGTACATAAAGATTTGAAAGTCGAGAGTGTACAAAAGTACCTATATCAAAGACAGAGCACTGAAATTGTTCGATTCTGTGGAACCGCACACTAATTCAGAATTGCACTCTCAAATCATATGGAATATATATTCCGCCAGGAAGATATACTAAGGTTCAAAGCATACTTCTATAAAATCATCTGAACAACTTATCAGAATTTAACGATGCTTTTATTAGAGTGGATAATCTAAATGGTCGCAAATAGTATTGAGTAAAAGTGCTTTAGACACTAACTCGCGTTTGAACAAGCAAAGAAGAAGAAGATATATTGTTTCGAAAAATATATTATATTAAAATGGAGATTGTATGTATATGTTTACATATAAAAATGGAATATTTCTTTACAAAACTGATAAATAACGATTACAAATACTCTTCATTTTCTCGACAAGATCTATCAATCGTATCACTCAATAGTCTATTTTAAGAGTATTGAGAATAAAAGTATTTATCGCAAGTATAAATACATTCTTAGCCCTGTGATTGAAAATGATGGAACAGATACGATAAGGTACAATGTTAAGTTGTATCAGTTAATAATTAAATATATTGTCATTAAATACGTGATAAAGTCGAGAATAGAATGGGTTGGCATATACGTATTATAAGATTAATATTTTCGGATTATACCTTTCACTGAGAGCAAGCTGTAGTTAACGACTACGCACAAGATAGATAGATCACGTAAATAATGACTTGCAGAGAATAAGCGACAATAATAGGCCTATTCTTTTGTAACAATGTCGTAAAAGAACAACATAAAAAAGTACTACTTTCTGGAAAAAGTGGAAAGTTTTTTTCCATTATTAATTGATTCTTAGTTGATAATTAAATCAAGCAAATTATTTTTCTGAGTGTAGAAAAAATAACAACTACGAAATACGAATAATTATATGTTAACTGTCGCAAAAAAAAAACAACAGTTAACTGCGATATCCAGTTAATTGTCATATGTTGACAGTTAATTGGATATTTTTTACGTACGTCCAAAAATCATTCACAATAGAGAAATTTTTAGTCTTAGCAATTATGCGATTTGAAATCTTATTAGTT